GGTGAACACCTATCTAGTCACACTTGATGGAGAGACTCTGGAAGAGATAGAAAGTTTCATGTATCTGGGTAACATTATCGATGAACAAGAAGGATCCGATGCAAATGTGAAGGCACGGATTGGCAAAGCAAGGACAGCATTCCTACAGCTGGATGGCATGTAGTGACCTACTTTTATGAAGAGAACGCGATCGGTATAATGGAAACAGTTGTTATTATAACCAATTTACCAGTGATTGTTTTGCTGTACCTGTTTGTTTAAGTGTACTAAAAACACACATTCCTCCGTTGTCTGTGACCTGAAGAAGTATGGTCTACTATATTAGTACTGCTCTAATAATAGACCTAATCCCACAATTGTAGGTTTGCCATGCTATAACTGCTTAATCTATACGATCTTACGTGGAAGTCACATCATCGTCTACACCAACTCCCTGCATCGTAACAATTACCAATACATGATAGAGAACAATCTTAGGCTAGAGAAAGAACAATATATTTAATATGAATAAACGATATGAGATAACATTCAGCAGGGACCACGCCTGCATGGCCGAGCCATGCCATACGATCAACTCCAATTAATTCAACCCATTATTCCCACCTTTTCCATCGTTAGGTGTTTCTCCGCGTCAAATATTGGATATCTAGTTTCCGAGTAGTCTCGTGTTCAGCTTTGGGGATTGTGTGGTTATGGTCCAATGCCACTACAGACCTTGCACGAACTCGTGTACGTTCAGTAGTTCCGCTTGTAAACTTTGGCGCAATCTCGGTACTCTTCCGATACCATGAGATTTTCAAAAATACATCTCATTACAATCTTCAATTGCCTCCTGATATTTGGTCTACGGAGGGATCTTACCTCGTAATTGGCACGTAGTCTTCCTGTAGTGGTGATCATAGTCAACCAGGACTCGACACCACACTATAAGTCTATGGAACTCAAAACAACCATCTAGAATGCAATATCAAAGTCAGAATCTTCAATACGAACGTCAACACAATTCTACTGTACGGAGCTGAAACTTGGAGAACGACGACAGCTATCATGGAAAAGTAGAAATATATTTTGACAGTTGTCTATGCAAGATACTCAATATCGGACGCCATCAGCAACAACCTACTGTGGAAGAGAACAAACCAGCTTCCAGATGATGGGGAAATTGGTGGCTAGTGGTTTCGTAAGTGACGTGCATTTCGTCATGAACCGTCTATAGAAACTTACAAGACAGTTAAATGTGCGTAAGTGCTTGATGGTAGTCGGTCATGGGTAATCCAGAATGGCCACCACTTTGCTTCTGAGGGGTCGAATGCCTTGCGCATCTGTAGTATGTCCTAGGAAGCCTAATGAATCAGTTCCCAATCGGCAATTCTGAATGTTTACATGTTTTCGTAGTCGGTGGAAAACCAGATTCAGATGCTGGAGGTGCGATTCTCTGTCCGGACTTGCTATTAGGCAGTCGTCAACATACGCATGTACGAAGATGAGACCTCGAAAAACGTCATCTATGAACTTTGGAAAGTTTGGGCAGCGTTTCTTAGACCGAAAGGCATTCGCTAAAGTTCGTAGAGTCCGAAGGGGGTTGTGATAGCGGTTTTCGGAATATCGTCGGTAGCCATAGGGATTTGGTTATACGCTTTAACCAAGTCGATTTTCGAAAAGACAATTGTACCTTTCAAGGTAGCTGCCAAATCGTGAATGTGCGGCAACAGGTAACGATCGGGAATAGTTTTCGCATTCAATCGCCGATAGTCACCAGTTGGACGCCAATCGTTGCTGACCTTTTTAGGGACCATGTGCATAGGGGGTGAACGAGGGCCTTTTGACGGTCGTATGATTCCTAACTCTACCATGTGATCAAGTTCGTTTTCAGCCAACCCGAGGTTTTCGGGGGCTAGTCGTCGTGCTGGTGGCCCTGTAGTCGTGGCTTGATGTGTAGCGTTGCTGGTTACACACAGCGGTTTTGGCTGTGGTTGGCATATCCCAGAACACTTATCGCATGGTGGTTGATAGAATGGGTCTATCGCGTGCTTAATTGTGACTGGAGATAATCCGCAACGGGAAAAAGAAGTTACGCAAACAGATGAATCGGTATTTCCGTCTACTAGCCTCCGTTTGTGCGTATCGATGAGTAGATTGTGGTGTTGCAGGTCTATACCAGTGATTAGCATAGAAACATCTGCAACAACGAAGATCCAGTGAATAAGTTTGAGTAAACCGACCTAAAAGTACCTTTATACCATATGTGGTGTTAGGCTTTCAGTTTGCCGTCTGTAAGTGTAAAACTGTTTCGTGAAGCCAGTCGTTAGAATTTGCAGAAAGAACGCTAACTTCTGTGCCAGTATCGACGAGGTAGCGAACTTTCGTTATCGCATGTGACGTATAACAGACGCGTATGTTCGTCGGCTACGGTTGCCGTTAAGGCATGGAAGTTTCCAGATTTTTTTTCGTGTCGGTCGATTTTCAGTTGAGAAAATTGCAGGGTTTTCCGCAATTTCTTGAGGACTTTCCATACTGGTTGTGATACCAGTACCAGTCGGGGTTATCAGTCTCCCACAATAGGACGAAACAGCCGTCCAGTGTTTCCAGGTTTTCCATGCTGGTCTAGCTTCAATTGACTCATGATCTCAACCGCTGAAATAACGTGTAAGTGTATGACATAACTCTGTTATGTCATTCTGGGTCGCTTGAAGCTTTTCTTTGACTGAAAAACCTCGACATTCGAAGATTTGCTGATTTCTAAGATGCAGTCGGCAGATGCAGCCAGCTCGTCTACGGTGTTGTTTTGAAACGAGACCAACACAGCTTGCACCTGTTGAGGAAGTTTGGATAAGAACCGTCGTATGAATCGGCCATCGTCGAAACTTCTTTGGCCAATGACCTCTCTCATTCTTAGCAACATGTCTGTCGCAGAGCCGTCATGAAGGTCGATATTATTAAGGAGTTGGTCTAACCTTAGTTGATTGATTGGATCTCCGAGTTTATGGATAGATCGTTTCAGTGTTTCGTAGGGTTCCGTAACATCACTACTAAACATGCTAGGTGTTACGTACCTGTTGAATTCCCGCGGTAGTGCCTTGACTACTGCGAGGAATTGTGCACGTGTGTCGTTCACGCCGTGCTCGTGGAAGTCGGCCTCTGCGTAGCAGAACCAGGCTTCGATGTTGTCTGGCCAGAAGGGCATTAGTTGAAACGAAGGAGACGTAGTCTTTAGCTTAAGTAACTTAGGTGTCTGTTCCGTCATGGTGCAATATCAAGTACGAGAATGAACGAGTGAAAATATAAATATATATATCAAAAACACGGGGGAAGATATCACAACCTATAAAAATTAATACAAAGCAATAATATACAGAATTCCAAAAAGGAACAGACTCACAGTTTACAATTTGGTGTACCAGATCACGTCGGGTTTATCAATGAAGATGCCACAGGTATTCGGAGTTTGACAACGCCTTAACCAGCAACACCTAATATGAATCGTACCCGCCAAGTGAAGTCAAAAGACAGAAGCTAGGAGGTTCGAAGACATATTTGATAGGCTATCAATATATCGAGGATCGTCTGAAATAATCTGGCTAGCGATTGCAGGGATTGTTGAGCACGGCGTTCCCACTCGTGATCTGATGCGGATGCATAACTGAGCGCCTTCAGCTATGTGAGTCCATTAAGACTAGTGTGGTCAGCATGCAATGTCGAAGACTCGCAGAGCTATTTATTTTGGGGATTTATTTACCGCTACATTAGGAACAGACGTTGGAAGTGAATAAGACATACATTGCGGAAATCACCAGAATGCATCACGAAGCTAGCTCTAACTTGGAGCCCGAAGGGGAACGGAAAAGATGAAGGCCAAAGAACACACTGCGTCGGGAACTGAAAGCAGACATAAAAATGATAAATCACAACTGGGAACAACTGTATTCTGTATTCAGGTTTTGTGTCTTTTTTATTACTATTTTAAAGATGCCAAAAGTGTTAGAACATTGACAGTGTCTTAACCAGTAACACCTTTATAATCGAAGTATACCAAACCACTCAAATCAGAAGTCAAGAGTGAAGAGATTGGAATCAATATTTTATGGCTAGTACGGAGTAACCATTCATGATCTGGTGTTCATGCGTGACCGAGTCCCTTCAGTTACTCTGTATCCAGTAAAACTAGTGGGGTCAGCATCAATGTCGAAAACTTACAGAACTATTTATTATGGGGATCTGTTTACCGCTACAATTTCCTTGAAATGACTGCTTTTTAAGTTGCATTTGTTCCTCAAGTGGCCATGCATACGATTCCGAATAAGTGATATTATATTTGAATTTACTATCAGGTATTAATATGATCCTGGGGTTGAGGCGAATCTTGATTATTAGTATAAGCAACTAGTATTCCGAAGAATGATAGTAAGAAAGTTAAACATTTCGAAGTGACTTCCTACCTCGAATATGTAGCATATACTCCGAAAAATTCATGGGTAATGATGTTACTTCAGCAATATCAACTTCTTGGGGTAAGTAATTGACCATCTAAAAGCCCAGGAAACGAATTAAATTTAATATAATCAAATGTTCCTTAGTTTATTAAATCACATAAAATGAAGAATATTGAGCATCCATTGTCATCCTTAATTATCAAGAGTAAATAAAAATAAATGGATTTTACTAGCCTATTTCAAGCCTGTCGAATATTAGTTTAAGGTCTCAGAAGGCCACGTGGTGGTAAATTTAACCCTGATCGATGTAATTGCACCCAAAGTTTGTTTCGCCGGTTGATGGTGTATTTCTTGTGTATATATCTTGTGTATTGTCCCTTACTTTATTAAGCTTTCGTCTATTAATTGTGATACCTCCCACGTTCCACTTGAAATAGACTATATTTTTCAATTTTTTTTACAGATAGTTTGATTTCCTCGCTCGACAACTGAGCAGTGAACACTCTGAATACATATAGTTCTACTGAGTCGTCGTGTTAATTGCTTGCACGCATAGATTTCGTTTTAGCAATGGGGTCTAGGGTTGGTCATAGACCTGAAGGTACAGATGGTGCGGATTTTCGTCATAGAGAACGAGTTTGTACTCAATACAGCTTGAGGTATGTTCATTTGTAGATATATTAGTACTTGAATAGCCCGTTATTGAAACGTCGCATCAAATTTGTTTATTTACTTCACCTAATGTTGTGGGTGCTCATGTTCGCTCGCCTGCTACCGGAACTATGCTTAAGACTTGGATTCCGAACAAGGCTTATGGTGGAAAAGGTAATAATAAACTTCATTCTAAGTACCTAATATAGTGGCCATTTCCTCAAGGTGAGTTATGGGAGTACGTCTGGCTTTTCGGTAGTATCTTCCCTACCCTATTCGGATATATCTCATTACAAAGAAGCCGAGCTGGATTGATGCGAGTTTCTCTTACTGGAACTGTCATTTTCGGTCTTGGCACTGTAGCTGTTGGATGCTTCACAAACGCATTCGAGCTGATGACATATTACCAAAGTCGTGTGGCTAAGCACTATTTCTATGAATTTCCCGTTGTCGTCTTGACCTACATATTTTTCTCATTATGTGTTCAGGTACACGGCTTCTCTGTCTATTTCGGTTACAAGTTATACTGTATCTGGTCTGTTAAGGTGCGCAAAGTACGGTGATTGTTGTTCTCAGGCTCGTTTGCTTCACGGTGATCAATAGAAGCAGAAAGTATCCCCGCTTTCTGCATAACTTTTGTTGGGAACTTGACTGTTTTGAAAGGCCGAGTATATTTCTTAAATGAATGCAGTAGTTTCCAAATGTTTGTGTACAGTTTCTCATTAAAAAGTGTTATTCAGTTTTTGTAATTATTCTTACTAACCCTAAACAGTCGTTATCAACTCTTTCGTATGTACATAGCTTTAATATATATGACATATTGCCAGCCTCTGGTCAACAATCTTGTTTATTTCGCTACAGCTTAGTTTACAAATGCCTGGGAATGTAAAAAATATATTGGCTCCCATCCGAAGTTCATTGTATGACAACATATTTAAGTCATTTAAGTTCATTTTTGGCGAACGGATTTGTAGATTACAACTGTTAGTTACTAGTGTTTAATTCTACTTTTCATCGACATAATGGATTATTGGCTAGCAAGATTAATTACTGCTTAGTTGTTCGTACTATTTCATTTGTGACTTCATCCTCTATGCTTAGCTTGGCATGAACATACCTTAGATATTTGAAAACAGCAGTTTGCTTTTCTGTAAATACATGGAAGTCCATTGTAGCCGATTAGATCACTATGCCTCATAATAAGCACATCTATGGAGTTTTTTTATAAGGTTTTCTAACTTCAAAACTGCTGTGTATATGGAGTAGTTTGATCGTATCCATAAGCATGAGTCAGTCAGTCAGCTACAACGTAGGACCAGGCACGTATATGCATAGGTCCAAGTTGCCATACCTCATTAACACAACAAGATGGATACCGGATTCATAAAAGTAGTTAATTCAAAGGTGTTAATATATAAACGAAAGATTGCATATAAGGATATAATACAGGAAGGAAGAATTAGTTTGTAGAAAGAAAGACATGGAGTGATTTTGATCTCTTAGTTTAAGGGAAGACAGAGAATGTATACACCTACGCCATTGTGATCGATTCTGAGCCATGTCACCAAGAGTCTCCAAGCATTAGCTACGATAGTCACGTGGACCCCAATCAAATAGTCTGCATCTCCCAACATGGCTCAGACTAGAAGTTAGTGACCTCAAGCATTGATGCCACGTTTTGGTTTGGCCGCCCCTAACTTTCTTCCAACCATCTCCAACACCGGTTAGCATTGCACGTCGTGGTAATCAGTGTTCAGGCATACGTAACACGTGGCCCAACCATCTCTGTCGATGAAGAATCACAACCTCATCAACTGATTTACTATCATTCCCTAATACCCTGCGTCTAACCTCACTATTACTTACCCGGTGATCCCAGCAGATGCGACCAATATTTCTAAGACATCTGTGGTCAAATACTAGGAGCTTACGAATATCTTCTACTCCTAATGGCCATGTTTCGCTGCCGTAAAGTAGAATAGAACGAACTAATGCACAGTATACTCGTCCCTTAATTGATAGACGGATATCTCACCTTCACCATAGGTGACGTAAGTTGGTAATAGCCAACCGAGCTTTTCGAATCCGTGCTGAGATTTCTGCCGACACCAATCCATTTGGGCTGATCAAACTTCCAAGATAAGTGAAGTTGTCGACGCGTCCAACTACTTCAATCTCTATCCTTAGTTCAGGTGTTGAAGCAGGCCAGTCCTGAAGCAACAACTTGTATTGTTGCTCAGTAGCTACTAAAAGACTGCATTTTATCAGCGTATTCACCGAACAGGACTATTTCAACTGCGTATTCTAAGTTGGTAAGTGGACCTCCTGGGAGACTAATCCAGAAACCATAGGTCTATGATGAAATTAAACAGAAATTGAGATATTGGACAGCCTCGACGGACACCACTTGAGGTTGCAAAAGCAGATCACAGTTCGCCATAAGCTCTCACTCGACTGGAGGTGTTCGAGTAAAGAGTTTTCACAAGGTTTGTGTACTTCTGAGGCACACCATTCAATGATAGACACTGCGACAGAACCTCCCGGTCAACAGTCGGATGCTGCTTTTAAGTCAAGAAAGACCACCATTGTCAGACGCCGATAAGTATGCCTATGTTCTAGAACCTGACGAATGGTAAATATGTGATCGATGCAGCCACGACCAGGTCTGAAGCCAACCTGGTTTTCTCGTATTCGCAGTTCGCGTGTCTTAGTTAGGCGTCTGATAATTATTGAGGCTAGTATTTTAGATACTGTATTAGTTAAACTAATCCCTCTATGGTTGTCACAGGATGATTTTAACCCTCTCTTATATATTGGGATAATAAGTGATTGTGACCAGTCAGATGGAATTACGTTCAACTCCCAGATCTTAGCTAAAATATTAGTCAACCTAGTCGATAAAACTAGATCGCCATCCTTAAAGAACTCTGTAGTCAATCCATCTTCCTCGTTTCAGATTAGCTATAGCTCTCTGAACTTCGATTAGAGTCGGGGGAACTACTTCAGTGTTCCATTCAGGCTGTTTGGGAATGGTAGGTAGCTGTAGAGTGGCTGAAGGCCAGCTGAACTGTCCTCTGAAATGTTCCGTCCATCGTTCTAAACGTTTGGGCTGAAAGTAGATAAGTGTCGTCTCTTTAGGAGATCGTCTCACCTACACTTGACTTACTAATTCCAGTTTCTTTTATTAGTCTGTAGAGCTGTCTTTTCCGTTTCTTTTGCTTTCGTTGCATACCACTGCTCACGGTCACTCCTTAGACTTTTAGTTAACCTAGATCTGATCTGCTTTCGTTCGTCATCGTGTTCGCAGCATGATGGGATCAGTTAAAGAGATTCTATCAATACAATGGACTCACAAGAAATCCATTTGTTTAAATCACTAATAGATGTCGCTGCTGTTTCCACAGCTGTTTTTACATCTTTCCAAGCAACATCTTGGTCAGCCTCGTTTTCAGAACTACCTAAGTGTGACCTCAGTTGTTCCTGGAACCTACTTTTGGTTTTCTCGCTACTCAATTCAGTTCTAATGAGTCTTCTTAATGTGGTTTTTCTGCGTTCAGTGAGGCGCAAGCGAATGCGCGCCCGTATTAGGGCACGGTCGGAGTCCAAGCAGGTACTCCAGAATGAGCGACAATCTTCTACCGACCTTCTCCAACGATGACTGATGGCAATATGGTCTATTTGAGTCCATCGTTTGTTTGGTGTAGGGGGTCGCCATGTTAGACGATGTCTCTCCTTATGCTTAAAATTTGTGTTTGCTCAAAAATAAACGATTGTCTGAGCACAGTTGCAGCAGACGATTACCATTATCTGTTCGTTGTGCCTGAATACTAAAATACCCACCTAAATGCCTTTCTGTTTGGTTTAAACTACCTCTCTGGGCATTAAAGTCACCTGCTCTGAGTACTATGTTTGAACGTTCAGCTTTCTGAAGAAGTTCAGAAAGTTCAGAAGTTCATCTTCCACTTCATCTGAGCTGCAGTCGGTGGGAGCGTAAGCAGAAACGACGAGAAGACAACAACGTGTGTCCCTATCCTTCTGAGTTCTTACGGAGCCGTTTAGCCGAACAGCACATAAACGACTGTTAACGGGGATCCACTCTAACAGTGCTTGTTCAGCCCTCATGCTTAGTGCTATCCCTACTCCTGCCAGTCCACGAGAGCTGGCCGTCGGGACACCAGATACACGGAGGGTGTATCTCGTTGGCTCTCCGTTTTGCTGAGGTGAGTTCAAGTGAATGACCACACTGGGATCCTGTATGCGTGTTTCAGAGACACAGAATACATCAATGATACGAGATTCTAGGGTTTTAGCCAAGGAGGCCTGTTGACCGATTTGACGTAGGGTGCGTACGTTGAAGGCTCCAATGTGTAGTTTGGAGCGAGGTTTCAGTAGACCTGGGACAGAGTTTTGAGCATTAGAATCGTTGGCTATGGTGACATTTGAGGAGGAAGCCGAAAAAGGAAGGTCAGAGGTGAAAGTCGATGTAGGAGGAATAATAGGAAGTGAAGACGGAGGTTGATTATGAATACAGTAGTCTTAAGTGCTGTTAGAGGTATGAGGGCGGTTATCACTCCCCGGTTACCCACACCGTGGAAGGGTTGTTCTGGAGGTACCTGAGAAGGAAATTGGATTACAGGTGGTCATAGTGACCTGAGAGCATGACCGCAGTGCCCAAGGGACAACTGCTTGAGGTCGGTCACAAACGACCTTTTTATGAGTAAACTTTGTGTTAGCTCCGTAGTTGTCGAGACCTTTCCGCCGGAGACGGATATCCGTGGGATAAGGCGAGGTGTGCCTTTTTAGGGTCGACTCTTTCTAGCCCCACCCCTCCCTGTGGGAAGGCAGCATCGTTGTCATGCTGGCTGTCTGAAGGGAACACCTTACTGCTGTCACACCTCTGTACAGTCAGCAGTAAGACTTCGCCTTCGGACCTTGAGTTTGTTGCTTTTAGTTTTACCGCTCTTCAACCGACCTGTCTGACATGGTAGGACGTTGAGGAACGGTTGTTCCAGCCAGTATAGCTCGGTTGCTTCATCACGATAGGCAAGCCCGACCACCACGTCAAGGTAGCAACAACGGTTGGGAGATGAGATGTTTGGTTTATAAAGATCACCAACATACGTGAGCTTATTGACAATGATTCAATTCTATTGTGATTTATGCTACTTATGTCTGTTGAAGTAGTTGTAGGGATCTCGCTAGTAGGTTTGATGGGTCTAGCATTGAGTCTCAACTTATCAGGTAGGACACTGTCATTGACGTGTGCTGGCTTGAGACGATCAATGCTCACTACCTCGACGCGGCCGTGTCGGTCAACTTTGAAGGTCTTTTCATGACGGGAAATCACGTGAAAAGGTCCTTCGTAAGGGTGTTGCAAAGGTTTGCGCACCGAATCTACTCGTATGAAAACATGTGAACAGGTAGATAAATCTCGCGGGAGAGCGACCTGTCGATGCTGTATTCGAGTTGACACCGGAAGCAGTGTTCGCATATATTCAGACAGTCGTTGTACGTAGTTTGATTTACCAAAATAGTTACTGCTCCGTGGTGTGGTAGGCGGTAGTGCGTATGCATTCCGTACCAAGCAGCCGGGTCAGAGAGGAGAAAAATTCGGACTCGAATTGTTGTCCTCGGTCAGTCATGATAGTCGAGGGAAAACCGTACAGCGCTATCCATCGTTCTACGAAACGGTGAGCAACTGTCTCCGCCGTAATAGATGTGTTGGGAATAGCTTCGGGCCATCTTTTGAAACGATCGATCCACGTGAGTATGTGATCATACGTGTTCGATAATGGCAACGGTCCCACAATGTCTATATAAACGTGATC